ATGACCACCTCCGGCCCGAGGAGGAATGGCATTAACCCCCACCCCCACTTCACATATTCACATGTGCATACACATGGCTTATATTTTCATATGAATTGCATAATTTGATTAACACAGACAGACGCTGATATTTCTTCGTTGTAAACACTAAAAGTGAACAAATCTTTGAAAAGTTCACAAACAAATTTGATTTACAAACCAGAGAAATTAATAATTAAATTAAAAACCGCAAAGAAATAATTGTGACTTTTATTTGTTTTCAACGAAACGCACATTTACTAAATTTTGTGTTTCTCAGAAAGTTGTAAAAATGCATGTCGTACAGAGAAAATACGCTGTTTAGAGAGCAAAACCGTAAGACGTACAAGTTTGTGGCGCCATGTTGTTGATCACCGGAAGCGACATCTTTGATTGTATCGTTTTCAAGTAGAAGGTATTAATACCTGTTGATTTATCCAAAGTCAGTTATCATTTGTTGAGGAATCCACATGATTTAGATACTTGTTAGACACAGGCTATAATACAAGCAACAAAGATACCAATAAAAAGGACCACAGTACAGAATATTAGATTGTTCTTGATCTTTTCGGATAATTTGCTTGCCATTACAGAACAAGCTTTTTAGTTGTTCTGTTGAAAAGGACTATCGTCTTTTTTCTGTCTTTTTTTTTTCTTTTTAGTAAAAAAAGTATAGCAAAGTTAGATCCGAATAAGCCAATAGAAATCGTCAAACGAAGCAAAAAAGAAAATAATTCTGTGAGAGTTATCCAATTTTGAGATTACAATGATGACATGCAAAAAGTTTAAGAGTTCGCTTGAAAATTTTGCTTCAACGTTTTTTTTCTTTTCTCTGAGAAGTAAAAAAATGCTACGACGTTTGTTTAAGCGGAATGAAAGCTTATCGTCAGTATAACACAACTGAAAGCTAATGAAACACTTGAATGAGTTAAGAGTAAAACAAAAAAAGATCATGTGATCTCGATGTAACTACTCCATATTGTTTTATTATAAAACAATTAAAAACAAAACACATAGGCGTGTATGTGAGTGCCTACGCGCGCACGCATGCATAATAAAGTCTGTGTTTGTATGGTGGGGAATGAAATACATATACATATTTGGTTGAATTTACGCGCAATATGTTGCCATTTTTATATCCAACACCTAAAATAAATCCCCTGAAGACAGACCTAAAATATTTGATTTATATAATATATTTCCTCAATGCGCCAAAATGGATCTTACAGTAGAAAAACTGGCATGGAATCTATATGATTATTCTGTGTTTGAATGTATGCCGGTTAGGTTTTCCTAGCTAGGGCCAAAGCGTATTATCTGCTCTATCAGTCCAGTTCTCCTAATGTGGGATCAGTTAGTCTTTAAGATACCTCGATAATAATATAAGACCGGGGGGGGAATTGGGGGTAGTATAGGAGATGTGAAGCGGGGGAAAAGTAGGGGGTGTAATGGAAAATTAGCAAGTTACAAAATTAGAAAAAGACGAAAAGGAAACCAGATGAAAGAAAAAAATAAATATTTGTCCAGTCCTTCTGGTGTGGGATCAGTTAGGCTATAAGATACCTCGATAATAATAAACGACGGGAGGGAAATGGGGGTAGCAATGGAGATGTGAAGCGGGGTAAAAGTGGGGGGTGTAATGGAAAAATTAGGAAGCTACAAAATTAGAAAAAGACGAAAAAAAAAACCAGGTGAAAGGAATATATATATATATATATATATATATATATATATATATATAGTGACAAAATAAATACAGAGACAGGCTTGCTGACAGGAAACATTGAATGGAAGATTGAAAGGCAGGTAGGGATGGAGAGCCGACAGAGATGAGATATTAAAATTATTTATGAAGAGATAGAGAAAAAGAAAGATAAATGAGAGAGTACAGGAGAACATTTTTGTATATTCCTTATTCTGCTTCTGCCTATGAAACTAATCCATGTTTGTATAAGGCTTAGGTATGTACATGAACGAGCAACAGAAATTGGAAGAATAAGTAGATGCAAAGAGCGAGAGAAGAGCAGAGACATAACAGATAATCGACACACGGGGAAATTCCACGAGGCCAGCTCATTTTTGCTATTTGTTTATATTTCTTTCATCTTATTTTATTATTTTTATAGCCACACCCAGATCGATAAGTAAATTGTGCGGATCAGAAGAGAACTTCCTGATTATTGTTTATCGATTCATCTTCTATGGTTTATGTAATTTTTCTTTTGAGATGATAATGGTTTAGTGATACAAGTGTTAGTAATTAACACATAGCTAGGATAGAAGTGGATTTATACCTTTTCCAAGGGTATTTTTCGTTAAGTCAGTGTTGGAAATCTGCTTTCCGATTAACAATTCCGAGCCATTATCCATTACACCACCTGAACATCCAAGCCTTCAGCGGTCACCCATCTGCGTACTGACCAGGCTCGACGTTGCTTAACTTTGGTGATCGTACGGGAACTGGTGTTTCAATGTGATGTGGCTGTGGATATTTAAACTTACATCCCTTATCCTTATTTCTTTCATCTTATTTTTATCGCCCCACCCAGATCGGTAAGATACGCATATGACACTATTCTCCGATCGATGATTAAATGCGTGAATCGGAAAGAAGTAATAAGCTTTCAGAAATATTTGAACTCGCATCTCTTATCTCTTAGATTGGTTTGAATTAAGGGTTTTCCTTCTCCTAGTCTGGTTACTAACCAAGGCTATAGTGTCCAATTTGTCCTGCTTTTTATTCATAGTTTAGGGAGGGAGAAGGGATGGATTCATACCTTTACCAAGGGTATTTTCGCGTAAGTAAATGTAAGGAAGGACACATGGCACAGTGGATAAAGGCGTTGGTTAGATCCAGTGACAGGACCCAAAGAGTTCAATACCCGGTTAAGGCAGTGGAGAACTTTCAGAGGAAAATTAACAGGAGATAACTGATAACTGACATCCATCAAACATGGCACGTGGAACTAGATCAGTCTACCCCAGTGAGCGAAATAAAGGGTTCAGTTCGACATTCCAACCACCTGAAGAATCTCGGAGCGTACAACGGCCGAAACGTTGTAATAAATATGGCGACAAAGATGAGGACAATAATCCGAATAATGTAAATAATGTAAATGTAACGGACCCTAGTAGAATGCGGCCCTCCGACTTTTCATTCCGAGCCGCTATCCATTACGTCATAGCAAAAAAGACCGGAAAATAGTGTAGAGAAAAAAAAAAAAAGAACCAAAATATACAAAAAAAGGAAAATTAAAAAAACAGAAAAATGTTTTAAAACGGTATTTTTTTTCTAGCCGCTATATCGTATCTACATGTAGATGCTAGACAATTAAAAAAGACCGGAAAATAGTGTATAGAAAAAAAATTGTTGGTTTTAAATTTTCAATTACAAGCCGTTGAAGTGAAATTATTATTATTATTATTATTATTATTATTATTATTATTATTATTATTATATCGTCTCTGACTCTAAGATGTTTTGAACGGGTGATGATGACCACATCTCAGCTCCTATATGCAGCTTAGAGACACAACACTTTTCTCACAACTACCTTTGCACACTCACTGATGCCAGGTATCCCCCAAGGGATATAAAAAGAACATACAATACAATGTTTGTAAATTTGCAACAAGTCAGTGTCACTGATTGAGTCATATTAGTGCATGAAATGTTGTTTAGCAACTTGGGGTATTTAGGGACTCAGTAATCCTGAGCGAAGGAGTAAAGATATTGAGAAAAATATGGGACAGTGGTTAATCGGGTTGGAACCGATGAAAAAAATTCAGTTTGAAATGTTAATTTGAACCTATAAAATATTTATGAGGAAGGCATCGAGGAGATTTAAACCTAAAATAAACTATGATTCAGTAAAATCCAGTTTAACTGAAATTCCTGCCTGGACCCACATCCCCAAGGAAGTTGTTATGACGTGATTAATGTGTTTGCTGAAATTCAGCAAAATTTTCGAAAGGTTTCAAATTCTTTGTTTGGTTGTCTACTCTACAGGAATTACGTTGGTTTTTACGAAAAGGGCCAAAACTAAACTGTGGGTAATAAAATACAGTTGGAAGGGTCACATGAAATTTACCAGGCCGTCTGGTTTATTTAACAAAGACGTTTTTGTATAGTTGCTTAATTAATCAAAGTCCCCTTCAGGACAGTTTATAAGCACACACACACATACATGCCGCTTTAACCAATTTGCGCCAGGCCGCCCCAGAGATTACTCGGCTATCTTTTTTCGACGAAATTCTAGCAGCTAAGTTCGCATTTTAACTATTAGATATCTCTCAGTGCCTCAAGGAAAGAAAATAATTTATTGAAGTCGAACCGCATAATTGTGATTGTTGCAACTTCTATATTCTCTCATGAATAAATAAATGACAGCTTTATCAAAAGAGTTTGTACCTCTTGTTAAAAATTCGGGAAGGTCGACCGAATTAAGAAAGTCGCTAGCACCGAAACACCGTCTGCTAGAGTGAATAACAGAGCACGCATTTCAGTGGATACACAACGTAAAAGATTCCACAAGATGACACTAGACCGGCGAGGGAGACAAACGATGAAAATAGCCGCGCCCTATTTACACATCCTTGAAGTTTACATTCAGCATACGATGAACTCGATAATCGATCATATTTTATGCCATAACCACCAGGAAGTAAACAATATCACAAATTTACATCCATGCAAATATCGATAAATACGCCCGTGCGCGCACATGTGTGTTAATGTTATTGTACAACGCTGCAGTAAGAGGATTCTTTGAATTATACATTCATGCCGAAAGTGCGACACGGAAAATATTATGTGATGGGAAGTTCTACAAGCAGCTCACATTCTAGACTGGTCATCTTCAGACTGCCACTCGTCTCAATCTCTGTAAACACTCATTATTTGGTCAGTAGTTCTAACAAGTTCAAGATATGAAAACATCCCTAAAGACTTCGCCAAATCAAAAATGGAATCATTCTTTTGTGATGTAATACACAGGAGGCGTACAGTCATAGAAAGCAAAAAAAAAAAAAAAAACAAACTGAAAAAATGCTTAATAAAATACTTTTAAAAAACAAAGAATACTTTATAAAATCAGAACTGGAATCATTTTTTGTGATGTAATACACAGGAGGTGTACAGTCATGGAAAGCCAAAAAATATACTTTGATGCCTAAATAATGATATTATTAATTTAAGATTTTTTTCTAGAATTTACTGAAAACTGCCGTATCAGCCGAAATATACCATGTTGTAGTTTACTAAGGTTAGCTTACTCTGGCACATCCATCCAGTGGGAATCGAACTCATTACTAATGGTCAACCAAACTAGCACGCTAACAATTACTCCGCACCGAAGCACCTTCGAAATATATAAGGTAGAAATATTTTCTATACCTTTAGTCCTGTTTACTTCTAAGAACATACCGCGCTGTTTCTCATTGCTACCGTTCAATGTTTTATTTGAGTATTCTTGATTTTGTGTGAACCTATACGTGTCCATACCTGTGTGAAAAAAAAAATAAATATAAATAATAAAGAAAAGTAGATATAGAGATAAAGAAAAAAATTTAGTAGCAATCAAAGAAAAAAGAGAGACAGAGAGAGGAGAGAAGTAAAAAGAAAGAAAGATAAAATAGAGCATAAATAAATAGCAAAGACAATCTTTGTTATGGAATTCTTTTTAATAATAAACACAATTTATCGATTTCCATCTCCTTATTGATTCTACCTGTGTATGACTATAAATTACATTCGGCAGCAAGGCCTCTGATCGAAAGGTTTTGAGTAGCGTGAAACCACTTCTTTAAATGCTGTTGTTGCCAGGTCCATCCTGATATTGGGTGGTAGCACCTGTTAGGGTCCCAGGTATGTGCAAATAGTAAACCTCCAAACTGGGGTCAAAATACTATTAAAGTATAAAAAAACATTCTTATAGTAAACGTTTCCAGCAATAGATTTTATTAGTAAAAAAAAAATCCTGCAATAGATTTTAATAGCAAAAAAAAATTACCAAAGCTTTGAAGGAAATTAAATTTTGGCCTTTAATGACCCATAAGGAGTTGATATGTCGTTAAACAAAACAAAACGTTTTGGTGGACGTTCTTGTGTATATGTCTGCATGAAAAGTTGCAATATTAACCGATCAGATTCGAAATGTAATCTTTCATTTGAGCAATTCATGAAACCTTGCTACCTTGTTCCTGCAGTCATCACGCATCAAAGGGCTATCATTCCCCCTCCCCCACTTAGATTGATATTGGGAAAGTTGCGCAGCTTGAAACCAGTCGGTGTTTCTATTTCTCAGTTCTTTAACTGTAGTGCGCCATGTCATTTTAGGACGACACCTTGGTCTTTTTGCAGCCTTGACATATCCTGTTTAAAGCAACTTTGGCTGCCAGGTAATCGTAGGATATGGCTGGTGAACTGTGTACGCCTAACTCACCCATTACAATAAGATTTCTATAATTTGTACGATTTAGCACTTCCTCGTTCCTGATTCAGTGGTTTGCATGAAAATAATGAGGCTTGTTAACTTTCTCTGTATAGACATAAATTTGATATATCTGAATTAATAGACTTATTTTTAATCCGACATTTTTATTAATTCAACTCTTATTTTGTTTGTGGATACCCGTGTTTGAATAGAAGCTCCGTTTATTTACACAGTATATATTTCGTTCACCGACATATGCACTCGAGGAAACGTAACAAAGCAAACGTGCTCTTCGTTTCCCTTTATAGGAGAAACCTCCGTCTGATCCGGTGAGCTTTAGACCGCTCGGTCACAGAGATTGTCACAACCTAGCAAGCTTTTATTTAGCCTTTTAAGGAATGCGTATCTACTCGTTCAGATTTTCCCGAAAACCCATTTCTGCTCGATTTCGTATTCGAAACGTAAGCAAAGCAATTTCTGAAGAATAGATTTATTTTTAATCCGACATTTTTATTACTTCAAAACTTATTTTTAATGACTACACGTATTTGAATAGATACCTTGTTTTTTTTTTTAACAGCGCGTACTTCGTCTACCGGCCTTCACACACGAGAAAAAAATTAATAAAGACAAGGCTTATACAAAATACACACTATTTAAAAACAGGACACCTATTCAAACATTGGTATCCATTAAAAATAACGTTTGAGTTAATATATATATATATATATATATATATATATATATATATATATATATATATATATAAAAGTGAACATAAAGTCAACACTTAGAGGCGACAGTCTGTTTCATGCTAGATGCAATCGTCAGGCATGACGATTGTATCTAGCATGAAACATGAAACAGACTGTCGCCACTAAATGTTGACTTCTATGTTCACATTTATATATACACACGCTCTATCTCTGATCATTGAGCACTTTATCCCATAAATATAGCACATCTTAAGACTATATTTCTTCATATATATATATTCCATGTTCCAGTCGTAATGAACGACACTTTCATATTCCATCAGGTACAATGT